ATTTAGAAGCCTGGATCTTGCAAATTGGATACATAATTTACAATATGCAAAAGCTTGGATTATGATTTTTCTGGGAATGAAGGTTTGATTTATCATTATTACTGTATATTTTATCATATTATAAAGATGCAATTCTGTTTTTAATACATAATACACAAGATTTTGGGTCAGCAAAGTATAAAAAAAAGATCTGATTTAGTCGACATGAATCCCGTTTACTTAGTACGTTTTTGAGAAACGGGACCTATGGTGTAAAAACACCATAGGTGCGTTTTAGTAAAATCCTTACTCTTATATAAATTGCTAATTTGAATTCAAAAAAGATACAATATTAGTTTGTTAAATAAGAAGCTCTAAAGTCGTTAATAAGTGAGGTTGTGGTTATATGATCTTTATATGATCTTTCTAATGTTCAGATAAAATATGTCAAACCATTTGCGTGAAATCATATAACTTAACTCTCGATGGCGATGCCAGAATAAATTAGCGTGGTGGATTATGCTGAAATTCCGGCCCGAATTATAAAAAATTTTATATTAGTCAATATGAAGTTTTTTGAAGTTTGGTCCGATTTCGTAAAATATAGTACAATTTTTTTTTTTTAAGGTAGGGTTAGGAAAAAGAGGGGTTTATTTTTGAAATAATTTAGATTTAATCAGAGGTGAAATTCACCAGTCTAAGAATTTTTAGGGTTAGGGTGCAGTTTTAAGATAAAGGAGGAGTTTTATATAACGTAATATAGATTTGATATAAGGTCCCGATTTCTCGTGAGGGTCCTGAACATTTTTACTTAGAATACCCGATCCCGTTTACTTAGTACGTCGTACGTTTTTGAGATATAGCACCCCCGGTATTTGAGTATTAAAATCGTCCGATATTTAGCACGTTATTTTGCTTTAATAAAATTTTTTTATGATATATATTTTGAAAAAGAAGATATTTCAGTAACCGAAAAAAGGTGATGATGATAAAATAAACTAGAATCCGATTTAATACATCTGCTATTAAGCTATAAAAAATGTTAGTAGACCAATAAAGAAATCAACGATAATACTCTAATGCTAAAATATTGTTTGACTACATATATAGTTTCCTCATATACAGCTACTTTTAATAACTATTTTCAATGTACGCAGAGAACCGAGAGTCAAAAGAGTCAGAGAATGATGAAAGAGAATCCATTACACATAGAGATTCACCAATACCTACAAGGTCATCACTTGTGCAAAATCCGGTAGATTATCTGGAATATCTTGCAGCGCAAGAAGAATACGCACCACCACAAGCTTCAGAACATGATCTTGGACTTTCAGATAATCAGTATCAACCTATCGAGTTATCTTCACCATTTAGCCAACATCCGACATACCTGTCAAATCTAGGGATGACAGAACAATATATAACACAATCATATATACCGCAAGATATAGAAACATCATCACCTTTATCTCCTTTAGATGAGGTTCAGAACAAAATGGTTGATTTACAAACAGTTCCTTCACATCAAATAACAATATATACTCATAATCCACAATTTCAAAATGCTACTATTAAAATGACTGAAGTTGCGACACATTCATTATCACAAGAAAGTATAGACCCATCATTATTAACATCACCAGGTGTAACGATGACAAGAAACAAATCGAGAATTAAAAATCCGACAATTGAAAATATACCACGAAGATCAAGTTACACTGCTCAAATACAGACGAGTGATACTCCTCTTAGGCAAGAATTTAGAAAAAATGACATATCCACTTCGTTTTTAAGGAGTAGCACTGGTAACAGTAATTCAATATTACAAACGGAAATAAGAGCTGCTCATGGTGACCCAGATGACCCCTTATTAAATTATCAAAATAGACCTAAAAATTTCAATTTTACCACTCGATCTGTTCCTTTCCCCCAGCAACTTGATCCTCATTATCATCATCAATTGCAAAATAATGCCAATGAAGATCCTAAATCTCCTGTTTCTCCTCGCGTGAAAGCGGCGAGTCCACTACCTGATTCATATAAAAATGGTTATAAACCAAAGGGTTTAATCATTTGCCTCTGTTTTAGTATTGTTGCTGGAATAATATTTACTTGTATGTAGCATTTCTAAATATTTAAATTCTAAATCTAAATTTGTTATAAATTTTCATTAACCCTTTATATTTGCATTTATCCTTGAAGTATGGGCTATAACTTATTTTATGCCAAATAAAGTGTCAATGTCTGGTAACAAAAATCCTAGGGTTAGTATGATTTTTTTCATCAATATTTATATTAATTGACTAGTAATCTCTATTAATTTATTTTATTGTTTCTTTTTTTTTATAGCAACAACTACTAACATTATGACAGGAATTGGTAATACTGATATGATTTGACTTGATGTACAGTATATGAAGAATTAAACACCTTTGTACCTAAGCAATGTAAATTGATTAATTAAAGATTTGTATTTAATAAAAGTCTATGTGACAATCTGTAATTTACGGCTCATATCATTTAATTGCTATGGATATACGATATTGTTGAAGTGTTATGTTGAACGTGCTGATCAAGTTTCTTAAGACTCCTTGAAAATTACATGCAAGTAAATGCCATGTAGTTAAATGCATATTGATCAATAAAGTTAATAAGGAATTCTCTATATTTGTTTCAAATCATTGAAATTGCATTTATGATATTGTTCGTGTGATATGCATATGATTTCTTATTTTTATTCTATAAGCATAGAATGTAAAAGAGTTTGAATATGTAATATCACTAATGCCTGATTTTTTTTTTATCGTTTGATCAATATTTTATAATTACAAGCAAAAAATTTGTATTTATAAAACAGATAGATGTACAGTATATAGAGCGTGAAAAATGTGATATTTATTATAAAATCAGAATAAAACACAACATAATACGTATCTACAAACACACTGTAATAAACCCAGACATGCTATAGGAACCAACACATTCAGGCATTACACCCAGGTCTTTCAAGCTTATACCTGCATAAAGCATTTAATGTGAGATTCACTCAAATCATTAAACTCTAAAACAAATTATTTTATAAAAAATTAAGTTGTTAACACATTAAATTCGAAAGAATTTTTCTGATAATTTTTTTCTTATATGTATAGCATACCAAGAAAAAATTTCTACAGAGTTAGCTCTATTAATGTTGTTTAAATTAAACATATTTCTTTGAATACAATCTAATAGAAATACCTTAGCAAAAACGCTCGCGATCACTTTACCTTAATCGACAGATTATCTACGGTATATATAGTATATACAGTATATGGGGGGTGCCAGTAGAAACCAAGCAAATTTTTTCTAAGTAAATTTTTTTAAAACTTTAAAATAAAATATCTTAACAACCATCAAACCAAACTTGATAAATTTTTTTTTATTTTAATTTTATGTAGTTATAGAATTAAAATAAAAAAAAATTTATCAGGTTTGGTTTAATAGTTGTTGAAATATTTTGATTTAAAATTTTAAAAAAACTCACTAAAAACAATTTGCTTGGTTTCTACTAGCAGCCCCCCAAATAAACAAAAATAATTTATTACATTTACTTAAAATTTTATTATATTTATTAGCTGTATTTTATAAGTAAAAAATGTTTATTATAACTTTTTCTACTAAATGAATGATATAACTTATTTTTGAAAAAAATATCGATTTGCTTGATTTTTATTGACGACCACCCAAATGATCCCACGTTGATAAAAAATGTTATATGGCTAATCAAATTCACAGAATGATACAGAGATCATTCCAGAATATGATTTCCTAATTTAGTAAAATCCCTGACTGAAATTGTAGTAGCTAAAACAGGCAAGTAAACAACAAATAACATATTTAGCTAACAGATATATAAAAAACAAGTAGCTGGTTTTATACAGACACTGTATAAAACAAATAATATAATATAGATAGAAGAGTTTATAAAATACAAGTACTTGCTTATAAAAAATAAACAGAAAGCAATATCTTACTTTAGAAAATAAAACAAAAAGTACTAGCAACAAAAGATTAAAAGATTGCAATATAGCTAGAAGTAAAATCAATAGAGATAGTAAATTTTATTAGAAAAACAATTGAAATTTTTAACTAAATTAGCTACAAAGAGTTAACAAAAAAAAATTATTAGAATTAGAACTCAATCTATATAAAAATAGGCTAGATAGTGAGAAGTTAAAAATTAAAAAAAAGATGATAAAGAATTATACTATAAAAATATACTTTTTTTAACTAAATACAAAACTATTAATTATAAAATAAAAGTATTAACTAGTATAAAAAACTAAAGCAAAAGTTCAAGAAAAAGTCTAATATACTAACAAAATCTATAACTTTTTTAAAACTTAACCCAAGACAAAACAAATCTATATTTATAATAAATACAGAAAAGTTATCAAAAAAAAAAATACAAAAACACAAATAGCAACAAAAAAGAAGATTAAGCTATTTTAAACAACTTATATCAGGTCTAGTATAATCAAAAGGCTCTAGATATAGGTATAAGATAAATCTTACAATCTGGAATTTGTTATAGAAAACTAGAGCAAATTAAGTTAAAAAATATATAAGCTACTATAAATATATGAAAGTAAAAAGCTTTATTTTGTATAGAAAAACAAAGATAGCTTTAATTAAAGTAGGAGTTAAAAGAAAACAAACTAGAAGCATTACAAGAATTCATTTCAATAAAAGCAAAATAGTAAGACTGACTCAAGAATACTTTGACAAAAAGATCTTAATAGATAATGACAAATATAAATCTATTGTCAAAAATTTGTTTACAAATAATCTTGAATTAAATTTAATAAAACAAATAAGAAGAGTAGATGCAAAAGTAGTATATATCTCAACAAATAATCATAAAAACTAAAGAGAATCAGTATTAATATACTTTGTATCTAAAGAAGAACAAGACAAAATAATATAGCAAATAGCCTTTTATTTAAACAAAAAAACTAAAATAAATAGACTAGACCAAAAAAAATCTAAAAATATAGCTTATATAAACAGAATTAGATTTGGAAATCCAAAGCTTAAAAGCTTTAACTTAGTACTAAGTAGAAAAAAAAAAATACAAATATATAAAAATTAAGTAGCTAGACTGAACTCAAAAATACAAATATACAAGAAGCTAATAATTAAAATAAACCAGAATCTTAAAAAGAGTATAAAAAAAAAGAAAACAAAAATAAAAATAGTATATACAAAAAAACAGATTTAAACATTCTTTACTTCAATTCAGCACTGCAAAAAATTTTAAAAAAACTAGACAAAATCAAAAAAAAACAAGAATTATAGCCTACAAAGAAACAAGCTTTAAACAAAAAAAATATAAACTATAAAGTTTTTAGAAAGAAAAATCTTTTTAATACTTTTAAAAGTTATCAAAGATAGCTTAAAGATATAGAAACAATTTCTCAAAACAAACAAGACCTTAATAGAAACAGAAAAAAAGAAAGAAAAAGATATAAAAATTATTAAAGTTAAAGTATACAATATTAATGGTTTAAAGATTAATAAGATTAAAATAGAATTTTTAATAAACTTTATAGTAGAAAAGAATTTTGATATTATAAAACTTTGTGAGATATATTATTAACAAAAAGAGTAAATATATAGTTAATTTAAAATAGAGAAAAATATATAAGATTTTGGTCTAATATAAAAACTAACAAAAATAAAAGTTTTAGAGTAGGCTTTTTTGTAAAAAAAAAAAATATGTCAAATATATAGTTTCGATAAATAAGAGCTTAGTTTATTTAATCGAACTAGTTTGTAGTTAAAAAAAACAAATTACTATATTATTTATATATATACTTTACTTAATAATAAAAAAGAAAAAAAAAAAATTATAAAGTAAATTTTGCAAACCAAAAAAAAAGAGCAAAAAATTATTATAATAGGTAATCTTAATTTTAAAACAAGCAAAGACTTGGTAGAAAAAAGAAACCAAAAAATATATAAGATATTTAAAGAATTTTTTAAGTTTCTTGAGAATAAAGGTTTTGAAGATTTAGAGTAGTTCTTTAATTATAGTAGTCTAAGTAGTACATGACAAGGCAGAGAAGTAAAAACAAGAATTAACTATATCTAGATCTTTAGAAAATACAAAACAAATTATTTTGAATATAAAAACACTAATACACAAAGTATTACTAATAGTAACTATAATATAATTAGATTAGTTATATTTTTAAATATAGAATTATATATAAGCAAAAGTGTTATATACAAAAAGACAAAAACTAAACAAATTATTTTTAATATAAAAAATACTACTAAAGAACAATAGCAAGAGTATAGTAAAGCTCTTGATAATATATTAGATAATAAATAAAGTAAATTTAAAAAAAAGAACATTAAAGATACAAAAAAGACAATAAGCAAGTATACTAATTTTTTTTTTTTTTTTCAGTGTTAAGGTGACCTCTATGGCCGGGGGCTTTTTATTAGATAATTAACAACGTTTA